ATATCTTTAAAATATTATATTTACTTGTAATATTCTCTATTTTTGAAGATTAAATCATTAATTATATTATTAAAATAGTAATTAATTTATGCACATCACAAAATACTATTTCTGTCTCATCTCTTAATGGTTTTTTAGAGTTCCATATTTGGTGTAATTGAGGATCTCTTTCAATTTTAGAAATAATCTCTATTTTAGAAATTTTGTTGAAGATATTTTTAATTACAAAGTTTGAGAGAATTTTTTTGAATTTGAAGATTTTTACCCACTCCTTTTTATTTCCTCTATCTTAGCAAGCATACCTATTGTTTTACTTAATTTAAAATAAAAATAGATTTTTAAATTTCAAAAATAATATTTTAATTCACATAAAACTTCATTTAAATATTTTAACATTAAATTATATTATCAAAGTATTCCATATCTTTTATAAAATAATAATTTCATATTCTTTCTTTCAAAACAATATAATAAAATATCATTAACAAATCTTCCCTCTCGTCCCAAATTTAATTGTGGATATATCTTTTCTCTAATACGGAGATTTTCAAAAATGTTTAGACATGGCAACGAGGTGGGGATGGGGCGATTTTGTAATCCTCGGCTCCAACCCCGGTTTGAGTCTATCGGGGATCCCCGGCCCCGGGACCCGTTTTAGCGGGGAATCCCTGTCCCCGTTCGGGTCGGATGAAACAGGTTCCCCACCGGGTCGGGGCAAATCACCATCTCTATGCTCGCATGAGAAGTAAGAGGGGACCATTGATTTACCTCTAGCTGGCCAGTATGCTATTTGGATAACCAAATTAGCAAGCTCAACTCCTCGAGTCTTTCGCTTGTGGAGCCACCAAGTTCAACTACTCGAGTCTTCACCTTGTGATATCCATTATCCGAGTTAAACTAATTCACTTAAAATTACACTATATGATCATTGTCCGATGCCCGACTTCAAGAGTCCACACCTTATCGCCTATTAAGGCCCGTTGTCTATTTCAAGTTACAAATAAATTCACTTATAAATTAAACAATATATTTCCAACATTTAGCCGACCATTATGCAAATGCATGTTCTAAAGACATGATTAATTAAAAAAACACAACATTGATTGGGACAAATCAGTTTCCAGTTAAAATCATACCATTTATATTTCCAAAATATTCTATGATACAACAATATGTATTTTCTAAACCAAATACATTTAACGCATTTATCACCCAATAATCTTTATAAAATAAATCATCAAAAGAACCCATACTTATGATTTATTTACTCATTGTCCAAAAACCCAAATATAAGTATTTTACATGATTTATAAAACCAAATATGCAAAACTTATCAAATAACTCATACATTTGATAAATAGCAAGTAAAACATGTTAATACTTTAAAATGGACATTTTGGTATGCACAACGTTTTCACAAAGCAACTTGAAATCACCTTGCTAGATTTATGCTAAATCAATGTTTTACCTCAAATCTTGAGCTTCCTTTAGTGAAGACTTGAAATCCTCAAGTTAGACTTTAGGTATATGATGTATAGCTTCTCAAGAACACTTCATCTAATCCCAAAACATACAAAAACAAACCCAAGATAAGAAATGAGGGTTGGAGTGAAATGAAGAATGAGGTTGAGAATCAGATATTATTGGTGCTGGGGGAAGTTTGGCAATCTTGCCATGCTATCCTGCCCATGGCACTATAGCGGACACTAGCCCGGATTGTACCGAGGCCCCCTCCCCTTGGGCGATCCTGAATACTATTGTGCCACTGGCACCATCGCAGGGCACAATAGCCAGACTGATACCGAAGGTTTTTCTCACTTTTCATCCATTTGAGTCATTTTATTGCCTAAAGGATGGTACTCCAATTTCAAGAAGCTAACCCATAATCATTTTAATGATAGAAAATAAAGTAAATTACCATAACGCCACACCAATTTTCTTTCAATGAACAATAGCAATTTATAATTCTTGCCACGTGGTTGAGAGGATGAGAATTGAACCTAAGATGAGAGTCGGCATGTGTTCGGAGATGGATGCGATCATGTGGTCATTTTGATTCCTGTACTAACTTTTATCAAATATAACTAATTAGTTTATTACCTAACAACTCATGGACTAATTTGTCCAACACAAAAAGAAAGCCTATTTGTTTCTAAAACGAGGGAGCATATTCTTTGATGCCATAAAAATCAATCTTTTTATATTATTATTATTATTATTATTATTTTAGTTTGCAAAAATCTCAAGTGGATGGATGGATATGGGAATGGGATTGTTTTTAATGGATCCGGTCGGATTATCCAACCCAAAAGAATTCCGGGAACCGGAAGCCGGATCTTAATTTCCATCGACAGATCCGGTTTGCTATTTGCCTTGAACATCTTTTTTCCAGAATTCAAACCTTTGCCTCTGAATTTCTTGGTTTGCGGTGCGGTGCGGTGCGGTGATCGCGTCAAGGTGCTCTCTTGGGAAAATTTCGTAAGAGTTTGTCAATCAATCATTGGTGCACTTGATTTCTTTTCCATTCTTCTTGGGTTCTTTTCTTATGATTCGAAACTTCTAAAGGGTTTCTTGATATCGTTACTTCTGGTTTCTTTGACTTTTAATTAATTCACATGAATGTTCCCTTTCATTGTTTGTTAAAATCGAGTATCGCTAATATAGGCAGACAAGATGGAGGATATGTTTGTGGCAATCCTCTCAATGCTTCTAGTTGTTGCTTTGATTCCACTTTACCTATGGAGACGACGTCAGGTTCCGCAGTCTCATGAACAAGAAGCTCAGGTTAGGGCTTTGTAACAAGTGTGGTGTATGATTATCATTTGATTTCAAAGCTTATATTTGATCTTAACAAGTTGTTGATTCTTCAACTAACACTTATATTTCCTTATGTTAAATGTATACAGGTTCAGCACAGAGAAACTGTTGTGAGGCCTACTGGTACTCGAAGTAGGATGCGTAGACGCCATACTTCAGCAGCCAGCACATCTTCTGCTCCACCAGCTGCAGAAGGTTTGTGATGTAGTCGCTCTGTGACTGTTTATTATACCTCTGGATGCTTGATGGGTTTCACTAGGGTTTCCAGTTATTGTAGCATATTGCTCTTCCTTTGTTTAGCAACTAACTTCTCTGTCACTTAGGTTATATTCTTTAGTTTCATTCTGTGGTACTATGTACTTCCAGGAGTGAATTACTCTTTTCTCTTTCACAGCCCACACACTGTATAGGCTTCTGAGCCATCCTTTACTACAAACGTTCCAAGCACTTATTTATGGCAACAGGTATATATGTTTAGGGGAAAAGCACATTTGTGGAATCACACATGGTTAACATGGTTCGTGGAAGCTCCATCCCACACACAATCCTTTGTAGCTCCCTCTCTACGTGTATGTCTGATGATAGAGCTTTTACAAGCACCATATAGTGTGAGGTTCCTCTAAATTAGGCTATCTAATATCCACAAGTTTGCATGTGAGGGTCCTATTCTTGTTTTGTTGTGATACCGTATCTAGGGTTCCATTACACTGAATCTGCCATTTTGAAAACTCCAGATGATTAAGAACATAAGCGGTGCCAGTAATGGTATATCTACCCACTGACACTTTTCTGCCTTGGAGCAGAAACTGATGATGGAAGCGATGAGGAAGCTCTTGAAGGGGAATATTATAATGCAAAAGCATCAAAGAAGAAAGGAAGGAAGAAAGAGGAACGCCAAGCACAACGGCAGGTGCAGGAATATTCTCTTCTTCCAATTTCTTACGTTTTGAAATTCTGTTTTGATGGTGGTTCTTAATATAATGAAGGTTTCCTGCTGGAATTTTAATTGGAACTTTCAAACTAATCAGTAGGATTCTGGTTATAGTTCTAACTTCTTCAACTAGGCATTCAGTAAATCTAGATTTGATGCAATGCCACTTTTTTCTTTTTCCTGGTATTGTTATTGGTATTCTTGTTTGGTTTCTTACTATTAACTTGCAGGCTGAAGAGGCTGCAAGGGAGTCGAGACATACAAAACAAGACCGTTATGCAGAAATACGCAGGAGGAAGGATGAGGAACACGAAGCAAAGGAGCGTTTGCTGGTTGGTTTATATCTTCTCTTCTGCGTGTGTTTTCGTCATTACTTAATTCTTGGGTTTCTTGCTAAATAAAATTTACTTTTCCATTCAGGAAGAAGAAGCTGAGGCTCGGAAGGCCAAGGAGGAGGAAGCTGCAGCGTTAGAGTTTGAGAAGTGGAAAGGAGAATTTTCAGTAGATGCTGAAGGTACTACAGAAAATGAAGTTCAAGATGGAAGCCAGGGACTGCTTTACGATTTTGTGGAGTACATCAAGGTATATCTTTCATCAATTTCTCTCTTGTAGGATTGTGGTTACCTCTAGCAGTAGGAAAATGAACACAACTTTAAATTAAATGAGTGCGGTTTGTCTGTATATCAAACGAGTTGTGTATTCAAATGCTGTCTAGAATGTTTCTTATATTCTAGCATGGTTGGAATTGAGGTCTCATATGCCTCTTAGTGACCGTTGTTGATCAGTTGGGTTACCTTTGACGTGAATATTGTCATGACCAGCTCAGTTTTGCATACATATATATGAATAATGAATGGAGCATCTGAATCTTCCTTCCAATTGTTGAAAGCTATACTAGCATGAAAAGGTTTCACTTGGCTAATCATGTCCGTTTTCCATCTTTATGGATGGATTACTTAGGAGACATGAAGTTTATTGAAGCATAGATTTTCATTAGCAATATATTTTATCATCAATAAATAGATGAAAATGTTATGGAGGATAAATATATACCTTTACTTTTCTACCCTTTTTTTTTTTTTTTGCCAACATGATTCTAAAGAACCCAACTCAGTCTGACCTTGGGCTTAATCAGACCAGCTGGGAGCAAATTTTAGGAGATTTCCATAATTTAAACACTTGGCATCTTGTGTAGTTGATGAAAAGAAGCCAGATGAATTTGTATGTTAGGCTATGTTGTTATCCTGATGGCAATTGATGATAAAATGATCTTTTTTGTTATGGTCCCCAAACTTGCAGAAACAGAAATGTATTCCCTTGGAAGATCTTGCTGCAGAATTCAAACTACGGACTCAGGTGCTCCTGTTTTAAAGTTTATATGTTCTCTTTGAAGTAGTTCATTTCTTTTTTCTGTAAATTTGAGTTGATATTTTTACCTGGTGGTGTAAGAGTTGATAGTCGTAAACATCCCTTGTTTAATATGGTACAAAATGTTATGATACTTATATTACCTTGTTTTTTACCATAGGACTGTATCAATCGGATCACCTCATTGGAAGATATGGGTATGATGACTCTCAGATTTTGCTGTTTTCACTTGAATCTAGTTTTGGAACATGAATGCATTTGTTGATGGATATGCCTGAATCTAGTAGAAACATGAATTTGATGCAGGGAGATTATCTGGTGTGATGGACGATAGAGGAAAATACATACACATCTCATATGAAGAAATGCAGGCAGTTGCGGACTACATCAAGCGTGAAGGGAGGGTGAGCATCGCTCATCTAGCCAGCAAGTCCAACCAGTTCATAGATTTGGAACCCAAAGCAGCGATGATAACTGAGGAGGAATTAGGAGCTCAAGATGAGATTGCAGTGGCTTGACATCTCTCCCTTGTGTTACATAAATCCTCAACTCAAAAGAAGGATGTAAAACAATTTAGTTGTGGTTTAAATCTTGTGTAAGGTAGGTACTATAGGCTTTTGTCGACTTTAACACATACATAATAGTTATATTACTGTTTTTTATATAATTATTTCTGTTTTTAATTCTTTTTCTTTTTCAATATTTGTGGTTACTCTATTTATTTTACTTGGACTCAAATCGAAATGCATACATTTGTCACCTCCTTTTGCAAGTGGAGGATCTTTTAAAAAATAATTCTGGATATATATATAAAGTTTATTGGATTTGTTTTGTTTTTTTAATTAAGGAAACCCTTTAATTTGATAGGATAGTAACAAGGGTCCTCCTTCCTACTTATCAAACAATGTATAGTATAGTGTTCTGATTTTTGTTAAATATGGTTTTCTATAGTTTGAATTTTTTTGGAGGGTTAGTTTAGTAAAGAATGTTATTATGGGGTAAAAAGAGAAGTTGAAAGTAGTAGTCTATTTCAGATCAGATCTGTTTCCTACCTAGCTAATTTGGCGCTAAAACTGGCAGCTGAACAGGTCTCAGTCCCTCCCTCCCAACATTCTTTGCTTTCTATTTATATAGATTTGTTTATTATAACTTGCCACTGATTGATTCATTTTGTTTCTTCTTCACTCTTGTCTTGGTGGGTGGTCTCCCATCAATCACCACCACACAACACATTGACACCTCAAAGGATATGAGATGGAAGAAAGCATGGGTTTTGTTGTTGGTTTTTCAGATTTTCACTAGGGCTCAGGATGACGGCAAGATCAGCCTACCCAAGGAGGTGGACACCTGTAACGGCATCTTCTTATTATACACCTTTGATTCACGACAGAAGGAATATCCCCGTCTCAAGAACGCCACCGCACAGTCCTGGGCTTTCAAGTCTCAGTTAAGTGTCGTCAATGCTGGCACCACCGAGCTTAAATCATGGCAGGCCTTCATCGGTTTCCAACACGACGAGATATTGGTCTCCATCGATGGTGCAATGCCTCTCAACGCTCAGGATTTCCCCATGAAGGTTGGCAACAACGGAACTCACCTCACCGGATATCCACATGCTGATTTGAAGACCGCCATTGAAACCGCCGGAGATCTCACTCAGATGTCCGCCATAGTTAAGATCAAAGGTACCATGTTCGGGGTGAGGCTTGGTGGGAATCTCATGCCTACAAAAATCAAGCTTGAAAACCAAGGCTTTAAGTGCCCTGCAGCCAAAACCAAAGGCCGTATGTATATATCATTTATAATTCTTACTACTTTCTTTCTTTCTTTCTTGATTGATTGATTGATTGTTGATGACATTAACAGAACGATCCATGCACGTCTGTTGCACCAAAGATCCTAAATACAAGGAGAAGAAGAAGAAGCCACTTAAATTCTTCCCTCGGCGGAAAGCCGATCTCTCCTTCACATACGACATAACTCAGGCCTACAAGGCCAATTATATGGCTGAGGTCACCATTGAAAACAACCATCCCCTCGGCCGCCTCGATCATTGGAACTTAAGCTTCGAATGGATGCGAAATGAGTTCATTTACGACATGCGTGGTGCTTTCCCCCGCAAGAAAGATCCCTCTGAATGCCTCTACAGTGCTGCCGGACAATACTATCAAGACATGGATTTCTCTAAGGTCATCAACTGTCAGAAAAGACCCATCATTTCCGACTTACCTCCCACCTTGAAAAATGATGAAAAGGTTGGCAAGTTGCCATTTTGTTGCAGGGATGGAATTATTCTACCCAAAATTATGAATGCCACCAAATCCCGGTCGGTTTTTCAGATGAATGTCTTCAAACTCCCTCCTGATTTGAATCGGACTACCGTCAATCCACCCCAAAATTGGAACATCACAGGCATGGTTAACCCACATTACAGGTGCAGTCAGCCCGTCCGAGTCGACCCAACCGAGACCCCTGACCCGAGTGGGGTCGAAGCCACAATCTCAGCCATAGCCAGTTTTCAAGTGACCTGTAATATAACCAAACCAAAACCCAAGATGGCCAGGTGCTGTGTTTCGTTTTCGGCGTATTATGCAGAGTCGGTTGTGCCGTGCAACACTTGTGCTTGCGGCTGCGAGGATGAAAATCCGAGGAAATGTGACGAGGATGCGCCCGCGTTACCGCTTCCATCGGAAGCCTTGCTGGTTCCATTTGCCAACCGGACGCTTAAAGCCAAAGCATGGGCTAAAATCAAGCACATGGATCTCCCAAGGAAGTTGCCGTGCCCGGACAACTGTCCGGTGAGCTTGAACTGGCACGTTGACAGTGATTACAAAACCGGGTGGTCGGCTCGGATGACCATCTTCAACTGGGACACGAGGAGTTTTGAGGACTGGTTCCTGGCCCTCCAGTTTAAGAAAGCATTGGTTGGTTTTGAAAACGTCTACTCGTTCAACGGGACGAAACTGCCCAAGACCATTTTCATGCAGGGTTTGCCTGGTTTGAATTACTTGGTGGGGTTGACCAATGGAACCAAAGCAGGGGAACCGCCGGTGCCTGGAAAGCAACAGTCGGTGATATCTTTCTTGAAGAAAAACACACCGAGAATACGTGTAGCAGAGGGGGATGGGTTTCCGTCCAAGGTAGTATTCAACGGTGGAGAATGTGCATTGCCTAAAAGGTTGCCGAAACGATCCGCCGGAAGTAATAACTCATCTCCGATGGGATTGTTTTCGGCTGTTTTTGTTTCCTTCTCGACATTCATTGTCATTAACCATTATTATTATTATTATTATTATTATTATTATTATTATTATTATTATTATTATTACTATTATTATTATTATTATTATTATTATTATTATTATTATCTTCCAACAATCACACCATTCATCTGACTTCATTAATTGTGCTAAAATGAATATAAACGTTTATAACTTTTGCCATGACATGACTAGTAATCTTGGAAACGAGTAACATGCAATGGGTATGAATTTTTGTGGTAATAAAACATGATTTGAGTGGGTTTCGGCGAATTACACAATGTGCGTTCGTTCGATATGGCCAATGCATGGCTCCGGCAATTTCCGATACGAGTACAGTTTTTTTCTCTAAATTCTTTGTTATGGAAAACATCTTATTAACATTGTAGATGAACCACAAAACATTTTTTTTTCTGTGTGGTCTAACGTAACAATTTGATACTGGTTGATTGATTTGAGAGGAAAAGATTTAATGGGATTCGTGAAGGTTATTCATTTAAATTGCCATATGTTTAGTTAAAAGTAAAAGGATGCAGATCCATCATCATCTTAATTTGTTTTGTTCCTTATTTAGATTAGAACAAATTAATTCATTTATATCATATACATAAACATATTCTTCTATTGATACTCAATGAATGAGTATTAGTGCATCTTAAATTAGTGGCTTAGGATGAATGTCACGTATTTTGGAGTTATTAAGCCCCTAAAAAGATACGTAGAATCACAAGTCTGCGTATTAAGCCATGGCGTGCGAGTACTATTCTTGAAATAAATAAACAAGAGGAAGAGGAAGAGAGAGGAGGATGATGAAATTGATAGGTAGGTACATGTACACTTAGTTGATGATGTTCATATGTATGTAAAAGAAGATGACACAAAACCTTCCTTAATTTGTAAACTCAAATTAGCTGAGGCAGGTTGAGTCCCAGAATGGTATGGCCTGGGTTTTGCCTGCAATATGAACCACACTCCCCCATCATATTATTATTATTATTATTATTCATTATTTTGCTGGAAAATCAATAAACTAAATACCTTTTCAGATACTTCTTCTGAAGCTTCATGGCTCCTGTGCAAGCTTTTTTTGCATCCATATTCCCAGAACTGTCATTTAATATCTGCATGCAATTCAACCAAATAATTCAACAACTCTTTGCTTATTATGTTTCCCTGACCCAAAAATCAAACTTCACCTTTACAACGTCGTCTAGTCCCCTTGCTTCTCTCATTAACTTGTCGCTCCTGTCCTCCAGTACACTCGCTACAAGGAAAACAGATATCGGCAGCTGCTGGGCTGCACCCGATCCCCTGTTTCTCCTGTTTGCTCTCTCATACTTGCCATATTGTCGTTTTGATTTCCGTTTCACTTTCTCAACATTGTGTCTTTCACCTCCCTCATCCTCATACAGGGAGAACAACTGTGGATCATACTCCAATGCCCACATCATCTGTTTCATCCAAAACAACATGACTCTTCATGGTTTACCATCTCATTTGTATGGAAATCAGCTAAAGCATACAACTGTCACCAACAGTTTGTTACCTCCCACAAGTGCAACGAATCTCCAAAAGAAAATTCTCGTCGAAACAACACCATAAGCATCCGGAACGCAAATAGGTAACCGCCTCCACCTAGGTGTTCTGCATTTGTGCAGGAAAAAAGAAAATAAATCATCAACCATGAGACATAGGATGCTATCAACACAACTTCGGTTATTAGTAATCTCAACATACCCAAGTGCTGATGAAGTTTAGGATCCACAACTTGGGTGACCTTAGCCAAGTTACTAAGTTGTGCCTCAACCCCCACAGTGTTCCCCGTGCATCTGAAATTGCCTCGCTTCAAGGACATTAAGAATCGAATCATGTCGAGCAGAGACTAACCTTCAAGAAGCTATAAGGAATAGATGAAAATATACCAATCTTCGCATCAGACGTTCAAAGCACCAAAATGCGTCTGCTTCATCTTCAAGAAGCATAATCATGGGGGAGCAAAGATCACTCATCCCTGTTTGGTGTATTAAGTTTAGAACCAGAAACTTGAAGCAATATGCATTTTATCATATACCCCACCTTGACCATAACCAACATCTTTATCAAACCAAGCATACACCGCAAGAACATCCCATAGTTTTGCCAGATTCTCTTGCTTTTCATAAAACATCAGTGTCCTATCCGTGCGAACCACATCAAGACCTACCATAAGTTTGTAATTCGACACGCCAAAAGTTACACGATAAATAAAAATAACTTCTGATGTGAGAGCTATTGCCCATGATTCTGATGCAAATTAATGAAAACACAAACAATTACATGATTCAAAGGAAGCATGTGTTTATATTTCTATCCATCTACCTATTTGGTGTAGAGCAAGCTTCCATTGGATTATTTCCTTATCTTGTTCGCGAGGACCAACAGTGGCTGGACTTGAACCAACTGCATGTACACAACTCGCTGCATTATTAATAAGCAATGACTATTAAAAGTTGTACAAGCTTAGGGGTTGGGAAATTTAACATTACCATTTTCTTGAGATTGTGGTGTTGAAATCTTTTGAGGATTTGTTCCTACAACAGGATCTTTAATAGGATCACCGTTTGCTGTGATCACACGCGCAGTGATGAACTTGCCACTTCCAACAACAGGAAACATACGTTTGCATGAATCTTTCAACTCAGCATATTGCTCCCTGAAGGCATAAAGTAAATATAAAACTTACTCCTGCATCCCATTACAATTGCAACATTTTGTTTTTTGGAAAGAATCCATAAGTGTGTATTCTGTTATCATCATCCTATCGATGACATTCATTTGGGTAACGAGTTCCCTTTACTTGCCTTTATTGAAGATTACTTTATATTCAAACTATATGTCAATTCAAGCATTATGCCCTTCTCATTGGACAAACAAATTAGTTGATATGCCAAAAAAAGATTCTAACTTTACACCAACAAGGCAACCATGTGTATTGAAGCTTTAAATGTATAATTTTCGTTATAGAATTTAGACAATCATAGATTCATAGTATCATGTATAAATAGTTTTAACCAATTAGCATACACATATATGAAACACTGAAAACAATGCAATACTTGCACCAGAATGGAGATAAAATAAAGAGAGGGTAAAAGTGGGCAACATCATGAAATAAAAGTAGAAAAGAATAGCGGCATAGGCGCTCAAGAGGTGGACGTCATACCCTTCATAAAAGTAGAAAGGAATATATGAAACTCAACATGACACATCTGCTAACATTACCATGGTATGTAACTCATACCTAACTTGAACACATAGATGATAAAAATTCACTACATCATCTTATTGTTAGTGTACAACTGATGGCCATCACACCTAATTATAAGAAGATATATTACCTTCGTCTTTTTCGTATCTGTTCTCGTTCATCAAATTTGCTTTTAGGATCATAGCAGCCAAGCAGAAATTCCCACACTTCTCCTCTAATTGATGGATGAATCCCCTACTTATCATCAATGCACATGAGCAAAAGGAAGTGAATTTACCAAGACAAAAAGATTAACGTATATAAGATATAAGATACAGCAGATCAGACTACCCCCTGAATATTACAATTACGGGTAGGGAGCTATAACAAACAATGCAACAAAAAGGGCTCCTTATAGTAAAGACCAATAAACTATAGATATGAACTCTTCCTCGATAGATAAACTTGTGGTAAGAAATAGAGAGCTTACTCCTCGATAGATTCGACTAAGGCACTTGCCTATATCAAGAGACCCTTCTGGTGAAAATGAAGCCCGCCACCTTTTTACACTGAGGGTTTTTCCGGCCTGGATCAGTAGATAAAAAACGAGAAGCGTTATTAACAATTTCAGAAAACCAGTCATCAGGCTGGGATAAATAGGTAAAACCATAATCTGTAGATCTTTAAAAGCCTAAAGCTCCAAGTTCTGAGGATAACTATCCCAAGATTATCACATTAAAAGTCATACGTAAATTATTTGGACTCCCTCCATCTGAAGAAATGCAACACTTCCCATTTTGAGCTGTCCCAAAAAAAGTCCAATCCCGATGGAGGATTTTCTATTCATAGAATATAGAAAAAGAAGACTAGTAAAGTTGCCATAGTACGATTAACCTCTGGATTTGAATCACTGCTTATATACCCGGTATTGGCCATCAAACTTATTTAAACGTTCCAGCTATCCCTTTTTAAGGTTCATTAGGATTCTTGTTGGTTGGAACCTCCAGTAAGATTAAAATCCAAATTTACCTATTTGCCTACTACCATTACAAGATGTTAGTGACTTTAATTTTGGTTCACTAGTTTTCTTAATTATGTCCTATTAAAGGGCATATTAGGTATTTTGTTACTAGTTAAAGATTCCATTTAATTACTGTCAAGTCAAATGTTGCATTACTTTGGACGGAAGTAATTATCAATGGAAGTAACGGATTGAAAGGAAAGGTTTCCACTGCCTAACATGTTAATGGTATTTTTCCTTTTCATATAGAATATAGATTAGAAGCTAAATAAAAATCCATCATTTAATAATTGAATTCCTGGTTATTTAACAAACTAGTATTCACCATATATGATCATCAGGAACCAAGACAGTAGAAGAACTCAATTTTGAAAACAAGAAGTAGAAATGAAGGCAAATAGACACCAGCCTGATTTCAAAGAAGATACAGGCAAAACAGAAGACTTATCCCCACCAATCAGTAGCAGAAATCCACCACCGGGCTCACTTCCATTTTCAAACACAAAAGCTAGCTTTTGTGTTTACACTGATGCTCAACCTCCACAAAGTTTCAGATGGTACTAGATTCTAGGAAGTAATTTTATGAACCTTTTATTAGATGAAGTAATATTGTGGTTCAATATTCGATTTTATACCCAATTAATAACATGATACCGAATGATCTTCATCCCATCTGACTTTCCGGCAAGTAGACTTCTGAATCCTATATCTTTTACCAACCTCCATGTATACTTAATATTCAAAACCATCCATCGGCCTTTCAAGTCTTCTTCTAAATGAAACCCAAATGCAATATTACTTACACTTGATGCTTTTGTAATCTGAACAGACAGACTCTTTCAAGGTATCAAGAATCAGGCCACGTATATGTTTGCCGATAAAACACTCAAATTTGCATGTAAAAGAGAAAGGATTTGCGAAAATGGTTACACACTTCCAAGCTTGGTGCCAAGCCCATGTAATAAAAATTCCTCAAGAAGTCTTAAGACAATAAGGAGATCAACCAAATCCATCAAAATCAACAGTAACTATAAGTCATAATCTCTCCTGCTAAACAAACTTATCCATCAATAAATAGAATATAAAACAAATAAACCCAAACATTCAGCTGACATGTATGTGTGTGTGTGTGTGTGTATATATATATATATATATAGTATATACTTCCAGCACGATCCAAGAACAATAAGATTATTCAAGATTCTGCATATTACATGAGAACTTTCATGAAATAACGTCCAAGAAAGCTAAAAGGCGATGAATTAAACAAGAATCGACAAATTGAACATGTGTTTTAAGAGAACAATGACGCAATTAGGTTAATTGATTACCATAAGTGATCCGATCCTTAAAAGAAGAAAGAAAGAAAGAAAGGGTCTTACCTTGATCTTAAACTTGGTTTCAGGAACATCGGTGCATCCAGCTCGAACCTCATAGAATGAATCAATTGGTAGTCCCGGGTCTTTTCTTAAAATGTGCATCCTCTGGATCTAATAATGCGTTTTGATTTCGTTTATATGAAATGAATCAATGAATTGAAGGGCACCAGCCACCCCAGCCACCCCAAAACCACCTCAAGAAAGGAAACCCAGATGAGATGTTGAGAGAGGATTGAAGGCGAGATGCCTGGTTGGGGGGAAGGGAGGAGGTGGTGGTCGTTGGTGGGTGGGTGGGTGGCTGGTTGGGGGTCAGTGCTCCTCTCTATGCAAGTTGTTGGATACTTGTATTGTATAGAAGGAAGGAGATGGGGTCTGGGTCAATCTGTTGACCTTGTTCGTTCCCTCCACAAATCACACGAGATCGCCCCTTTTACCATTAATATTATTATTATTATTATTATTATTATTATTATTATTATTATTATTATTATTATTAACCCATGATGCTTATCAAATCAATTTTTTACAAGTCATTAAAGACTTTTCTTCCAAAATAAAATTAATTTTACTTTAAAAACATCCTTCCTCTCTCTCTCTCTCTCTTTTTTTTTTTTTTTTATTAACCTGGATATCCAACCCGCTATGCGAGTCGACTAATCCCAGGGCAACCACCTACTTTGCAGATAGCCCGGAGTCACCGCATTTGATCCTCCGTGACCACAAGGGGATTTTTATTCCTCCTTGAATTTGAACCTGGGACCTTCTGGTACTTTTGACCTCTTTTTTTTTTTTTTTGTCTTGTCTTTAAATAAATACAAAGTAATTAGGGTTGCATGATTACTAATTCTTTCTTGTATACTATTTGAACAGTATATGGTTTAAAAACCCGAAGATATTATAAAATTAATGAAAAGAGTAGAAAAGTTACAAACAACAATAACAATCACAATGGTGTTGCATTTTGGTTTTGGTTATGGTTAATTAACGAACGGAAGTATTATAAAGAATGTAGTATTATGAAGCAAAGCATGACCCTGAAAGAGCAAGTAATTGACAAACTTTCCCCTCATAACAAATATGCTTTGCACTTCAACCCAAGATATCTTTCTATTACATCCTACAAATACCCACCCACATCATCTCTCCCATCCTTACCTTCCAATCTTTATGGCCAAACCGGTTGTTGTTGTTGTTTTTCTCGGGATTCTAAGTCTTTTGTTGTTGATCCAGGATAGTGGTGCATATGAGTTCATGGTTGGAGGTACCGGTGATTGGAGTCTTACATCCACCTTCTATAACCAATGGGCCCAACAAAGCCGTTTTCAAATTGGTGACACCGTTTGTGAGTTTTCCTAATATACATACATTACTTGGTGTATTGCAAGAGAATCTCCAACTAAATGATTTTTTTTTTCTCATTAATAAAACATAATTTTGTATTATAATAATATAATCGGTTCGGTATTAGAATCCGGTAAAAAAAAAAAACTGTTTTTTTGTATTTCTGGGAAACTACCGGTCTTTTAACCATAATGAGTTCATATTCTGTCGGGGTGACAGTGTTCAATTACGAGGCGGGAAAGGACTCGGTGGTTCAAGTGACAAAAGACGACTACAACAACTGCAACCCAGCATCACCCATTGCCATGTATAGCGATGGTCACTCCCTGGTCAAGTTCCGACAATCTGGCCCTCATTATTTCATAAGTGGACTCGTAGAAAACTGTAAAAACAACCAAAAGATTGTCATGGTTGTGATGGCAGATCGAACCAATCGCTCGTCTCCTCCAGCTCCAGCTCCAGAAGGCCAAGAGTCTCCATCTCCTCCTCTGGCTCCGCCAACAGAAGATTATAACCCGAATGCTGCAATTTCAACTGTCACAAGCTTCATTTACTCTGTTGTTACGCTTGTTGGCTCTTCACTTGTCTTTGTCTTTTGAGTTGGTGATCAAAAGTTATCAATCTATTTGTTTGGAATAAGATTGGAATTATGATATAATAGAAGATGGGTGAGAGATGTAATTCCAAAATTTTCTAAACAAATATATATGGTTTGGATTTATATAGTAGTAACAATGGTCTGGGAATGGAAGATATTAAAGGTTGTTTTACATGTTGCTAAAAGTTCTTCCCCAGCTCAACTTTTTTCACCAATCTCAACGTGTTGTGCAGAATCGAATCCAGTATCCCAGCAACCTGACAAACAATCACACATACGAATCTCAGACTCCAAGTTTCACACACTCACACACACAGACTGAGATGTCAAGAAGACTCACCGTGAAAACACCACCGATAATGGCACAGACATTGGTGATGAAATGAGAAAACGACTTCCGGTTTTCCGTTATCAGAACCTGGCCATGAAACAATGCTTGAAATTATACACACAATTTGGAAGGAAGGAAAAGATTACTAGTACAAGGGTTAGGGCTTGAATCTTAAACCTGCATCGGAGATGGCTCAATATGGAACTTTACAACAGGGACGGAAAGAGCATGCATCAAGCTACTATGTGCTGTGTACTCGTAATCCTCAATAAGTTGATGAGATGACCTCATAACCTCAGTCTTCACAACTTGAAGATAATGCTCTATCTGAAATCACAAAACCAAACCTTACATCAACACCTAATAACACCAAAAATATTTGTAAGAGTTAGTATTATAGCATGTACCGTGACATTTGCACGATCTTCTGGGTCAGTGAGGTATGCCTGACCATTCAACTTGTTATGGCTTGCACCAATGTAAGGTAGTATCCGCTTAATATCACTCATCACCCTTGAACTGATCTTCTTACCAAAGGAAAAAGTAGAAATTACATGTGACATGTTCATCTGGGAAGCATCAAAGGAGTGGGACCCCGAACGGGCTGAGATTACAAGATTACCAGGAACCTGCATGGTTGGAATTTTCATGCAAAAATTGTGGATATATTCGATCAATCACATTATTAACTATCAAACTCGTATATTCTCTCTGTCTTGGTGTAGGTTTACCTTCTTGACTCGTACAAACCCTTCAATTCTACATCCTGCTTCACGTGGTGCAGGTCTTTTTGCACTCTCTGCAGTCTTGCCAGATTTATCCTCCAAGGACAGGATTGGGGACTCCAATGAAATAGGTGCAACCAAGTTTTCCATTGTCTGCAGGAAGGAAGCACTAGCTAAAAGAAGATGCACTAAGGATAGAATTTTGAAGCACTACAGTCTACAGAACCATATCTTAAATGATGATTCATTTACTGGTTCTTTTGTACAAAATTTAAGAAAATTCTGAATTTAGTCTGCTTACATTCACCAAGGTCTCTGTATCTCGGTCACCATAATATGATTCATGCTCATGGTGCCCATGCTCATCCCTGATACATAAAAACAATAGGTAAGTGAATGTCCTTCATTAAGGGTATATAATCTTCTAAATTAGATTCAAAACAGCAACTAGTTTAACTTCAGGGACCATATTGGTTCATGATCCAAGTACCCAAAATATCAGGCTTGTTGCATTACCCTCACACAGAGACAGGGTGAACTGCAAACCATAACACATCTTTCAAAAGTTTGTGCTGTGCACTTCGAATTACCATGTGTATAAGACTAAAATGAATAGATGACAACTAGTTTTCAAAAAGCATCCATCAAAGGCAGAATAAATCATACTGAGATTGGCATGCATACAAGATATTACACAGGGACTTGCCTGACATCACTGCCCTTACGGAATATCCGAATAGATGGATAACCTTGTATGTGGTGCCTGAAAGCCAGTACAAGTGAGTAATAATTACTATAACTGGAAAAATATAGAGCAATGAACTGAGCCATTGGTACCATCAGTCCGAAGAAAACCAAGTAAATACAATAACGCATGGGTGGTTGAAAACATGCAGTTCTTATTAACAAAGAACTGAGGAGGGGATTTACACAATAGAATAGTAGAATTCTGAATTAGCCTGAAGAAACAAAAATAGTATACAAGTCGAATAAATCAATATGATAAATGTTTGAAGCATTGTGATGATCAGTCCAGCGGAGATGACATGAATCTAATGACCTGGCTGTCAACTGCATTCTAGTTTTAAGAAAGAATTCAAACATTTACCTCCTGCACAGATCAACTTCTTCAGTACAGTCCACCTTGCCCATAATGATACGACCGTCCACTTCTGGATCATGTCTGGTAAGACAAAGTCAAGTCAGCATCTAATAATCAGAAATGACTTACCATTCACCAAATATAATTTTGTTCTCCAGATGCATAGGGCAATGATATAGACCTCTCTTTCATAATTTTGGCTGCCTTCTCCCATGAGGGTTTCTGTCACAATAACAGACAAGGATGGAAAACAAGTGTCAAACATGCACACGTAGATTAGATGTGCAAACTTAAGTTACGTGACACAAAAGCAAAGCATTTAAATCCTGCCACACCCAAACACAGGCACGAAGAATTTTCATTGACAAGGACTGATATAAAAGTGAATGTCAGGCCACAATATCAATAGAAAGGCGACACAAGTTCATTAAGGCTTCTAGGAATTAAAAGAAAAGGAGGCTAATTCCATGACCTTCCATTCACAAAGGAATAACCTTACGAGATGCTCCAAAGCTTGTCCATACATCATAGAATCACCGAGCAAAGAAAAAAGCAATGATAGCAACAATTTTATGTAAATCACCCAAAAAATAACACCCAGTGTTTAAGCCAGGATCCTTAACGAGGAAGAAAGGTTTGAGATTAGTTATCTTAATAGGGTCAATCAGTTAAGAATTGTGTAAAAGATCCTCAAGTAGATATTTTTTATTACCTGAGATAGTTTCACGGAACGGTTGCTTATATAGAAAAGAGGGGTGGATGAAATGATGAAATGATTTTGGAGTCTTGTGTGATCAAGTAGTCACATTGAAGTTAAAACTTCTATAGGACAAACATAAGACCTGCCATGACTTACGGGGCAGAATGTTAGGTCACAAAAGAAAAACATATTAGCCAACAGGAGTGTAACAAAAGTTCGAACATCAAGTTGGATTTGTGGCCCCAAATTAAGGCATATGTTCAAATATGAGGATAGATGGAAGAAGATCGGGTTGGCATATGTTGAGAAGCGAAGGCAACCCTGCTTATGCTGCATTGATCATCCCCAACATAGACATCGAATGTTAGAAGACTCGACTTGTAGAACAAAGAGAGGTAAAGATCGGCCAATGATGAAGAGAGAATTTCATGAGTGGAGTATACCAAAGGAGTTGTTCTTAATAAGGTGCATGGAAAGACGCCATTGATGTTCCCAAACCGTAGGGGATTCGCCTCTTTATGTTTTCTTATTTGGTTCAACAGTTCACAGTTTCTTTTGTTTTCAGTTTAGCCTACCCCAACTAGTTTGGGATAAGGGCTTGTTGTTGTAGTATATGTTAAAGAAACCAGACAGAAAATTTTTTAATGCTTGGGATATCCTAACAGCTGAAGAAAATGTACATCTGCCACATATTAGACAAAACTAAGACTACCCAATCAGAGGCAACCTAAAAGAGTGAAACTGCAAATGCATCATGGTTGGTGCTTCAGATTACTTTTCTTCCACTTGGAGTCTTTTATGTCCTTTCCCATTCCCTATCATACACTCCGACATCTTAAATAAGTAACTAGTATCTAAATTCTAAACAGGTTGATGTGGACAGTTAAGTTCTGAACCATGTAATGGACACACAAAGATATATTCACTTGACTGCCATAATCAACTGAAATGTTCCATTCAACACAAAGGGAATTGAAAACTGGTTAACACGCAGTTGTCCTCATGCCAGTAATGCAAACATGTAACAATCTTGTACAAAATCACCCTAAAGATAGAACTAGTAACTTGAACATTAGAGTAAAGTGAAAGGAAAAGGATGGCAACGCATTAAAAATGAAATCACCAAGTGTGTCATGATCAAATAGAGGTGTGAAGGATAATTGGTCAATTCAGGAAATGCAACTAGGAAGGAATGAGATTACCAGACGGTTACTCCAATAGCACCAAGGAGCATAGAAATTTACAACCAAAATTGAATGCCTGCATTTTGACCAAAACATATGTTGCTAAATATCATACAATCATTTTGATAGGAACACTTTCAGCAATCTAAGGATGGAAGAGAGTGAGATTTGTTGCTTCACGTACTGATGAGAAATTCTATCAAAATTACGTGCATTTAGAGTAACAGATCCTTCACCATATTCCTCATCAACTTCATCATCATGCTTGAGTATATTAGTAACTGGTCCAGAATCAAACTCAGAGCCAGTAGTCCGTAGATGTTTATCAATTGAATATTTGCGAACTGTTTTTGTTATGTTCAACCTGTTCTGCAGATAAGAGAAACAAAAGTTAGGCAGACCTAGGTCTATCAACTTCAAAAATAGAGGAGCTTCTTAGAAAAAAGAGAAGTAGTAAAGCTATGAAGCATGATGCTTCATAGATGCGACTCAAGTTCCAAAACTTGAAGTAAAAGAGACCTGTACTAGCTAACAGAAATGAACAGGTGATCATACAAACTAAGAAACTATGACAAATGACACAATAATATGATTAACAACAGCACAAAATATAAAATATCTGCACATTAAAAAACTCTATTGTTGAGAAGCATGCATGAAAGAAAAATGAGGATATGATCGTCTCTCAGCCACTGGACTTTGGTGATACCAATTTGAACCATTTAATTTAAACTATCAGTGAGCAGCCAAGCAAAGAAGTTTCTTCAAGATGTACAGGACCACTTACCAATATTAAATGGATGACTAGCTCCAAACTGACTAGAACATCCTCATTTTCAGGAGACCTAACATCACTCCATATCCTCAAAAAAGAAAACATGATAATGAATTCAATTTTATTGATCAATAAGAACCATGCAACTTAAATGCACTTGGTCCAACTGATTGTACTATCACCACAAGAGTCCATATCTATGTCCTACTCCTACATTCCCCACACAAACTTTGAAAAAGGGCCAAACCACATTGCATGATGAATGATCATCATACATGATCAACCAAGTTCATAAGCCAGGTCACATCAAGTTGAGTTTTCAGGACTGATCAACAGCAAGAAGCCTTTCTGGCATAGGTGAGCTTTAGAACTGAAAATAACAATATTCTAGCTTCCCATATGAAACTTCTTTCCCCAAAACTATGAGAAATCTAACAGAATCCTTGGTTCATTACAATGAAGAGTGTTTAATAGCGTGCATATAGAAAGGAGGGAGATAAGAAGTACAACAAGGAAAAGCGGGTGCTGCACTACAGCAAGGTGTCACACTGTTAGGTCATGCATAAAGCATCAATCCTCCTAGCAGAATCCTCGATTTGTTACTATTTTAGAATAGCATTGCTAGAAATGATCACTAGGAAAAGTAAATGAAAGATAACAAAATAAATAGACAGATAAAGCGAAAACAATATAACTCTCTCCTTCAAAGAGCCAAACAGGTTGCACAGCTAAATCAATAATCAACAAGTAAGATGTTGAAACTTACAGTTCCCAATACATCACTCACATCCACGGATGCAAACTCACAGGATAAGGCTGGTAAACTGCATTGGAGTAATTCAACTGCTGTTAGCCACCAACAAAATAGACACATGTTTCTTATAATATAAATATATATCAAATACCATCACATAAGATGATAGATACATCAACTACAACTGAATTATCTTTCAATAGTGATACTGAAATCTAGGAAAGTAATTGATGGAGTCTTTTGACAACATATATGATCCAGCCTGATGTTCTCTTGGGTGTTAAGAGAGACAAGTGACAGTGAAATCATTAGTGTATATAGATGTAAAAGAATCCCAGATAAAGTATTATGAAATCTATGAAAGTAATTGATGGAGTCTTTTGATGATGTATATGATACAACCTGATGTTCTCTGGGGTTGTTAAGGGATGTAAAAGAATCCCACATAAAAAACTGCATTCAATCTGTCTGTGTAAACTAGCTAGCATTTAAAATAGAAATTGATTGATTGATCTAAGTTCATACATTTTATTATAATTTTCTTTGCTGATTTGATTTGATTAGATAGTGTCATTCTGCCTACTCATAGTGATCAATTAAGACTAAGAAGGATAAATAGAGAGCAGAAGCAGAAAAAAGAACTGGAGAGATATACAGAGAGAAAACTGGATTTGATGCCATGTAGCATACCTAATATTAAAGTCAATCCGTAAGTAATCCCCATCAGAACTTCTGTCAACTATGACAGAAGTCGAGGTACTGATGGCCAAATAGTTATGTAGCTCCTGCAAAGAATACATGGTAAGAAATAGCAGAAAGCAAGTCAATAACAGTTCATAACGAAGGCGTGTGACCAAGAAAAAAAAGGAAAAAAGGATAATCCAAAAGAAATGCAGCCACACATGATCTGGTAATGAATAAGAGTCTATGAGAGAATGGAGAGAGTGTTCTCTAAATCAAAATTTCTTGCAATATCGTTATGCATGCACTAACAACAAATGAATAAAAAATTATCACAAAGCAATAACAAACTGTGTTATGGCATGTATATAAAAAAAGTGCCCAGAACTTAATTAAAAAGACAAGATTCCTAGGTCCCACCATTCCAAATAAAAACGTCATGGCAACAGCTGCTATGATAGACAAGCCGGCACCTGATAGTGACGCCTCTGTCAAATCTCTTGGAATTTTCCTGCCATAGAAGAAAAGAGTATATAAATCATGTAAAAGAAGTATAGTTTGACCTACTCAAAATGATAAGATCCATGTATGAAGAGCAAGGACCTATATTGGAAAGTGATTATTACCACTCAAGAATATTCTAATGTAACTCCATGTATAATAATACAGACACACACACACACTATTTACGTATACACGCACGCACAAGTCTGACAGCAAATTTTACACAAGTCTTATCAAGCCTGGATGTGGATGAAGCATCAATCAAAATTCTGCCACGTACTGATGTTATGAAGTCTAGGAATCTGATGAACACAATGTTAAAACACAAAATCAAATTCTACAGTGCCTACCTTGTGTAGGAGTCCATATAACATGCTTTAGCTGTTTATGATGGAAAAACTGAGAATAGCTGTTCAAGATACCACAATCTTTCACTGAGTTAACCACATACGTCTATGTCACGTTATGCCATTTTACATGACTTGCAAGAAACCCACATAACTATTCTAGACATTGCATTGTAAACCCTTTCATAATCAGTAAACGGCATGTGAATATTTTTCACACTTCTTCTAAAGATCAATGAGAAAAAGTGTTCAATCAGAATATATCCTCGATCTATCCCTGAAACTTCAGTGTAATGCACAAACCCAAACTTATAACAGTCACTAAATATGGAATGACATCTTCAAATCTAACAGTCATTCATCATTGATGATTGGACTTCTAGGTGGTCTCCTCCACCCAAGCTTTGCTCTCGTTTCGGGTTTCCACGTAAATCCCAGTGTCACCTCTTATCTCTCTCTACTTTGCTATATTTCTATTGATTGCTATGTTCTTTGATGACTGGTATTTTTTATCGAGAACTAAGTCTGTTTCTGCATTAGAATCGATTTGGATTTGTGAAGATTGATCATTTGGGCTGTTGACTTATTTTGTGTTGGGAGAAAGGTCGATTAGATCATTATTTCGGTAACAATTTTATCATAAAAGGACTAGGTATCCTAGTCCTAGTAGGTGTACCATATACATTATATATTAATGTACTTTAACTTGATGTAATTCCCCATTATAGAATACAAAGTGACTTATCGTCTTTGTAGGTTTGGTTGTCATTGTCGATACCTTACAAGCATAGACATAATCCCTTTCATCTTTCTCTGTTATTTACTCTTCTCACCACTCTATTACCCTTGCAAAAACATCCCTGCATCAACTGTCTGGTCAACACATATTATCTTCTCTGGTCTCTCTAATTTCATTTTCAGGGATTTCAAGAACAAGAAGAATTTAACAGCAATAGTATATGTTTTGCCACATAGCAAATGCCATAAATAATTAATTAGGGAAAATTTGGAACGACGTATCTACCGCTTCAAATTGAGATTGGAGTAAACTGGTTCGGGATTTCAAGTAAATAAGCTATAATTCCGGTTTGAGATCTAGAAGCGGTAACACCACCCAACCGACTATTGCTGTTAAATTTCTCCAGTACCCGATATCAAATAAAAATTGTGTACACAACTTTAGCATCACATCGCAATGTTCCTAGAAGCAGAAAGAAATTCACTGCACATCAGAGTCATTCAAGTACATTCATGAAATAGAAGCTCAAGTACTCTGCCACGATCATCCACGTAACGTCTATGCATGAAAAAGCAATCCGAACAATTACAAACACGAAGTAAGCAACACAGTTAGTCATCAGTAGCAATAACACAGACTTTTCAAACTCATGGTAACCACAAACATTGAAGCATCAATCGCAACACTTACATCCGGAGCATAATTTTAAAAAATTAAGTTGAAATGGATGGAAACTGAAACCTGTAAAAATCAACAGATTTGATCTTGGCTGTGGACACCATGTTTGTGAAATGGATCTGGGAAAAGGAACACCAGAAGATTGAAGTAAATTAGGGGTTTTGTGGTGGTGTCCAGTTCGCGAAGCCCACAGAGGAATGAACCTGTGCTTCCTTTTTTGGTATTGAAACGGAAGAAGAAAATCTGAGGAAAGCAATTTCCAGACGATTTATTATTATTTGGTGTACCTGAACTGAAAATGAAATCATCCGGTGCAGCCGAGTACACGCTACAGTAACATGGACCTCTTTGAGTACATGGAGGTTAAATTACATTAAATGCCCCCAAGGTTTGATTCAACTACATAAACTACCCTGAGGTTTACATAATGACGGAAATATGTTGTCCAAAATAGACCAAATTCTTTTGACCATGCTTAGAAAAACAAAAAAAATTGTCGTATGAAAATTGTATATGTTAAGAGTTCGATTTGGAGCTCAATTGTAGTGCAAGGTTCAAAGGTGAGATCAGTTCAAGTCATGTCAAATGGGTTGTTACGGGTTCTTGATGTGAAAGAGGAGAACCCAACATTTTTCAATTTTCAATTATTTAACTATCACATAACAATTTTCAATGCCTCAAATTAGTTTTACAAAGAACACCAACATCTATAACATAACAACGTAATAGTCGTTCCCATGGTTTGTTTAAATTACGGATTTGCAGTGATAGATTTGCAAGATTTTTAGACTTGAAAGCCTAACAAGTTGCGGAATTTTCAAGAAATAAGTCGAAGATAGCTTCAAAGACACTAGGGTTTCACAAGTAATAGGACTTTAGGCAGCTGGATGGGAGATTCAGTCCTGATTGAAAGATCAAACTCCCTGACATTACGCACAATTGCAGTGCAAACCCACACATAAAGGTTCGAGATTTCATGAATCCAGAAAAGCAGGAATGACGAAATCTTCGAATCAATGATGCATTGTTGTTCCTCAAGAGTGTATCTCCAAACTTGATGAAATCTTGATCTTTTTGATCAGGGTTCATGGTTATCGACATAAGTCCGGAGGGTGTTACATTGTTTTTTTTGCTAAACCAGTGGTTCTAACAACCCAAACAGTTGGAATCAAAGACAATATATAACACAACAATGCATCTGGAAAATTACTGATCCTATCTTCAACATTCTCCTTCTGGCAATGTCGCCTTCTCAAACTAGGATTCCATCAGTAGCTAAATGGAATGTTGTAGATTTTGGTCTAGAAAACTTTTCTTGGCGGGCGTATGCCCCGCCTACGAGTGGGATTGATAACTTGTTTTCTAGCAAGGTTTATCAAGAAAGGGGAAGGTGGGTGATGGATTAGATGAAGAATTGGAGCGGTGGGTTCGATGTTTGAGAGTTTCTGAGCTGGTTGGGATAGATGGAAAGTGTATCGAACTATACCGACCTCATAGAGTTGCAATGCAATTTGGCATGGACCAAGATATGCACGATGATGTGCCAGAAATGAACGACTCTTCTGAAATTGCTTGGAGGTTTTACGACGGCCAATTAAGGATGTTAAAGTGTATCTTCCATCCAAAATTTGTGAGCCAAATGTGAATGCTAGATACTTAAGTTCCCATTAACGATGACGACGAAACATTGGATTTTTTTGGAAGAAGAAGTGCAGTAGCTCGCATTGATAAGATGGCACCAAAACTTAAAGATGAGGTTAATACATTGGGATTAAAACTTGAAGCGTGAATCAGAAAATTGGAGGAAGATTTTGTGCATCTGAGAACTGAAAGACAAAAAGTTAATGTAGATGGTTTAGAATCATAAGTAGAGTAGTGGGAGTGGGAGTGGGAGTGGGAGTGGGGTTTATGTTACATTGGCTTGGCTCAAAATGCCATTTTGCTCGTGGATTTTATTATTATTCATTTAAATGGAATGTGAATGTGCTTGTTTCTTTGATATCTAACATTTACAATCCTGTTAAAATAATTAACCAGGACATGCATATCATTTTTAGTTTTATTTATATTATATTATATTATATGTAATGATTATTTAAGAAATTCAAATATTTTTAATATACATGATAATCAATTTAAAATTCTAAAAGAGATTTTTATTTTAATTATATTTTAAAAATATTATAATTGATTAATTTTTCTATTTAATTTTGTTAAACAATACATTATTTATTTATCTTGTATAAAGTTGAAAAATACCCTTTTAAAAAACGTAAATAAAAAGGTAATGAAACGTTTCAAATCTGATTTTTTGAATTTGAAAACCAATGACAGTCGACAGACTCCATTTATTCTCAAATTACCTTCCTTGTTCGGCTTTCATTAACAATGGCGGAAGACACCCTCATGGAAGAGAGAACGGAGTTCATGGTATCTCCCAAACACCCTCATCCCAAACGCAGGCTTGCCCAATTTCTAAAACCTTCTGTTCCTACTTCCCTTGACGTTCAACCCTTTCTCTACAAGCCTCCCCAATTTTATTCACCCAACCTGTCCTTCAACTTCAACGGCTGGAGAACCCCACAAAAGGATTGGAAACCCTGGGTTGATCGCATGCATTCTCTCCACCAATTTACCTGGAAAAAAGCAGGAATATATCATGCCGTCTTGAATTCCTCCTATGAAATCATTAAAAACGATGATTCCATTATAGGGCTTGCAGAAAAGTGGTGTCATGAGACCAACTCCTTCGTGTTTGCATGGGGAGAAGCTACCATCACTTTGGAAGACATGATGGTTGTAGGAGGTTACTCCGTATTAGGTGAATCTGTTCTCCATCCTTCTGAAATCAGAGAATCATTCAACTTTCTGGATGAAGCACGGGTAGAGCTTCAAAGAAGTAAGACCAATAAGGCCTGTCAGTTTGGATGGTTAAAAAAATTCAAAGACACTGGAACCCAATTCGAGCATGAAGCATTTCTTGTATTGTGGTTATCCAGGTTTGTCTTCCCTTCATCATACTCCACTGTCGTCAAACATGTTTTCCCCATTGCTATTCATTTAGCTAGAGGCATCAGAATTGCTCTTGCACCTGCTGTTCTTGCCAGCCTATACAGAGATTTGAGCTTCTTAAAAGCTAAAATTGATGATTCCATCAATGGTGATTACCATGACGAGATATCAATTACGGTTTGGGCTCCTTTACAACTTGTACAAATCTGGATTTGGGAGAGATTACCCAAACTTATGCGACCGGTTACTGATGGTTGCAAGCCAAGATTTTCTACATGGGACAAGAAGAAGTTGCACATATACAATGCTGGCTCACTTTTTGATTGTGCTTTACAAAATTTTTCTTGGCGACCATATGCTACTAGCACGAGTGGGATTGATCATTTGTTTTCTTCTAAGGTTTATCAAGAAAAGGGAAGGTGGGTCGGAGTTGGTGATGGCTTAGATGAAGAATTGGAGTCGTGGGTTCGTTGTTTGAGAGCTTCTGAACTGGTTGGGATAGATGGAAGTTGTATCGAGCAATACCTACCCCATAGAGTTGCTATGCAATTTGGCATGGACCAAGATATTCCTGGTGAAGTGCCACGAACCAATGCATCTCCCGAAACCGCTTGGAGGTTTTACACACGACCAATTAGGAATGTTTTAGTGTATCTTCCATCAAAATTCTGCGAGCCATATGTCACTGCTAGATACTTGGAGTGGTGGAATAAGTCAGTTGGGGTTCAAGCACGAAGCTCTCCCATGGGTGACAATGAGAAACTGGAAAATTTTGTCGAAAATGAATCAAGAATCGAAGGGATCAAAGAATCTGTGGATGGCAACAAAGCTTCAGATGAATCAAGAAGTGAAGGGTCCAAAGAATTTGTGGATGGTACCAACACTTTAGATGAATCAATAACTGAAGGGTCCAAAGAATCTGCGGATGGCACCAAAACTTCAGGTGTAGCAAGCCTTGGCATCCATGAGGCTAATACATTGAGATTGGAACTTGAAGCCAGAATCAGAAAACTCGAGGAAGTTTTTGCATATCTCAAAGCTAAGAAACTTGGTCAAAGGTTAATGTAGATTGCTTTACAATCATATTTACAGTCATATTGATCAAAATCTTACAAGGCATCTGAACTAGCTAGCTTATATTACATTCAAGTGGGCGTTTTTAGAAGAAATTTCATAGATTGACTCTTGTATTTGCCAAGAAAAACCGTGTCTGCTTTACAGTTATTTATTTTTGCCGATGGAAATTATGAAATGGGATCGTAACTAATGGAGCCTGAACTGCTAAAAGACATCAGCTATATCCAAATTCTCACTACAAAGCAATATTGCATACAAAACCATTTCATTACTCTGAGTGCAAATTTGAAAAACAAACCAAGGATAGAAGCCTTCATCTTGTTTCATCTACATTTGATGTCAAAGCTGATAAAACCAAATCCAATACCCCTATCTTCAATCAAAGATTGAGTTGCAAGAAGCAAAATCTGAATGCAAGGGCCATCTCCAAGGACTGCCCCCTATGCAGCCAGCAAATTTGAAATAAATATGCATCAAACCAGTTTACTTCTCTAGCTGTTGCAGGTCAATATCCCAGGCAGATGCCAGTTGCAACAAGAGTTGGTCTGGCACCATACCTTCCCAGTCTTCAGGAGGCTCCATGGTTGAAGAAGCTTCATTCAGATTCACCAAAATCTCTCTTTTCACTTCCATCGGGATTCCCACCATATCTGTTCCATTCTCTACAATCATATCGAGCAACTGTAGCCAAAAAATGAAATACAAATGCACGTCAAAATAAAGAACCCAGCAATGTTGTTTGTCTAGCAAATTTGTGTCTCCGAATCCATGTATGTCTTTTAGATCTGAAAAGTTGAGTAAAATGATAATACTCTTGGTAGTATCTGGTTCTTGATGGCTTATTACGGACTAGTTAGTTTATCAGCAATGTCTTCATGCATGTTAGGAGTCTACACTGAACCTACTTGTTGCTACAAAGGGACTCATATTGAACTAATAAACTGCTTATCAAAGCAAAGTAGAAGAAAGATCTAATGTAGTTTCAGCTAGTTACTTTATATGTATGTGTATGTATGCATACCTGTTGAAGCCAAGACAAGCAGATGTCGAACAAGTTGGGGTCTGGAAGAAATTGGGCAACAGCATGCAGAACTTCAGTTCCTACCTCACTGGAGAGCTGATCAACTACAGGCCCTGTTCTGTCCATCAGCTTCACAAGCAAAAGATCATCCCCAGTAGACAAAACTTCAGCAAATGCCGTATCAATGTCACCCACATGAAGTGCATCCATTGCATTAGTCCAAGCTGTCCAAACTGGGTCACGATCCTGCACAAGACTGTCATCTCCCATTGCTTCGGCCGTCATTTCAGGAACAGCCACTCGAGCAGTTCGGATAGGTCCGTTGTCTTCACCGGCCACCCTAATGGCTTCCAACGTGGCTTCATCCTTTGAAGCTTGCCAAACACTTCTTGCAGAAGGCCCCTCCCCGAACCTAGCTGGCCCACCCCCTTTATCCCCCCAACCTCTCCTGTTCACCTGTTCACTTCCATTATCTGATTTAGGCGACCTACCATCCATAGCTGCTCTCCTYAAACCCATTTGTGAATTTCTGCCATATGCATGGTARTCCCAACTTTCTGGCACATCTGATCTCCACGAAGATCCTCTACCCCTCATACTTGAACCCATGTAAGAGACCCCATCATCATTCCTCCCTAATTTTGCATTCGGATAGTCCGAGMAGCCATTGTACTTGCCTAATTGTCTACCAGATTCCTCAAACCCCATCATATAATTACCACCTCTCCGATTATTGGCTGCTATTGACAGATCACGTGCCATGTCTTCAACAACTCGCTCAAGACCCCGCACTCTGTTCTCTAGAGTCACCATGCCATCATGAGATCCACCCATGAAATCCTGACATCAAGAAACTGTTTTAACAGAAGAGCGTGTATTTATTTATATGGAATATTTCTCAGAAAGCATACCTGCAACATGTTCATGAGATGAGCTTGTTGTCTCTCTAATTGCAGTAATTGCCTCTGGATAGCCAACCAGTTACCTTTATTACTCCTCAATCCCTCCCTTTGACTTGGATCATTCATATCGTCAAATTCTCGCCTTCTAGGAGCACCAACTCCTCTGTCCACTTTTTGGTAGCTCTCTTTTGACTGTGATCCTGCTTCTGTATCATTAATCCCAGACTCTTCTTCAATTTGCTCATTCGAGGACTTGACAAATCTACGAGGGACGACCACTTCCACTTCACCTGAAACCCTTCTTTCAAGTCTTTGGAAGAACTCAGGGTTTAGTTCCTTGTCACTTAAAGCAGGTGCCTTCTTTTTCAATATTCCAACTGCCTTCTCAGGTACGTTGCTACCCTCGGCTTCATCATCCTTTGCTCGAGCTTCTGTTTTTCTGTCATCCGACTTGGCTGGTTCAGAATCTGAAAAAATTGACAAACATGAGCAAGTTACAAATAGAAGAGAGGGGGGGGGGGGAGCAACCAACAAAGAGAGTGATATTTTTTTATGTGCACCATGACCAGATGTTTTTTGATCTTCAGAACCTCCTGCAAGACCCTGCCATTGTTGTAAAGCCTCTATTATACTGTCTCTTGCAGGTTTTATCTGTGGAAGTTTGACAAGAAGTTAAATGAGTGAATCCCAATGAAACTTTAAACCAAATTATAACAGATATAATGCACATATGGATCTCCAATTTTCGTCAATTGTGTGATTTCCATTTGAGATTTGGAATGAATGTTTATATTGTTTAATAAATGAAGATTAGCCCATTAGATAATCTGATAAACAGAGCGGAGAAGAGTTGAAACAGTATGGTATGTACAACAAAGAAGTCAACAATGTTTCCATTGGATGGTGGGTGCATTGGAATGATTTCTCCAACGAAGCTCTGTAGCATGAAATCTCAGATACAAAAAAAACCCAAGGCTTGGCCTATGCTGTTAATAGCGGTGCTATAGTGGTGAAATAGCGGTTAGCAGTACTCGCGGCAATAGCGGTGGTCAAATAGCGGTCCTGTGATTAGCGGCACTATTGGCTGCTAAATGAACCCCAAATAGCAGCCGTAATACAGCTATTTAATGGTAGGTTATTTTGGTGTTAAGTGGGCTGTTTTGTGGCTTCTATTTTGGTCCTAACATGGGTTTTGTTTTAGATGACTTGAGCAATTCAAGCACACGTCCACACATAAATCTGTACCCATATATCTTCTATCTTCCTTTCATTCTGATAACGGCCCACTCTTTGGTTTTTGCTTTTTATGTGTTGTAAATTGTAACAATGACATTAATTTCCAAATTACCAATCACCATTACTACTAGCTTAATGCTCTTACTTCTGTACCAGAAACAATCACTAAACTTCTTAATCATAACACACTGCCAAAATTGGAAGCAATAACAGAAAAAATGGAGGTGAAATCCTCAGTTTTTGTTTTGACTTTGAAATTAGATGATATGTTAAGTTATATATACATACATAGATATATAATTTAATGATTATATACACAGTCCTAACTGCGATTTTCAATTTTGACCGTTGTAACAGCATAGGGTTTTAGTTCTGTTGACTTAAAAGGGGGATCGAGTTGAATTATTTTAGCTCTCAAGGGAAGCATTTCAAAAACCAACCTTATCAAAGCGGCAAGCCTCAAGGGCAGTTATTGTAGAACCCGTTTTTCCTGTGATCAAGTTGCTTGAATGCAAAGCCAAGGCATTCAATGCATCAGCAGCTGCCTTTCGAGTTGCCCAATCAGAATTGCTAAGACAGTCGTGAATACTTTGAAGCAGTGGCTCCAAGCCTTGTGGAGAAATAGCACCAACCTGCAACCAGTTTATATAAAATCTTACGTGCACATCATGCCATTAGCACCCCATTACTTCCAACACAAAATCCAAATCAAATAACAAACTAGCGAACAGAAAAGAGCTAGTAGCTACTTTTTGACTTATAAAAAGGTATCTAGTCATTTGTGTGCCAATAAAAGGGTAGATGTAAACAACTAGGATGCAGAGATAATATTTGAAGTACAATCCAATGAACACCATCACATATTAATGATTTTCGTATTACTGTAGCACATCAATTAAGTCATTTATATTTTGCTCCATTTATCAATAACCTCATGAAGTGACGTAGGACAGGTTTTAATCTCATCTTGCTCTAATCTTACAATCCTAATCATAAATGACATACAAGATACATATTCCATGATGTATACTTTTAGCTGGTCATATTGGATTGTGTAACCAGACTAAAGCTGGAGGTATGTAAAAATACATTGAAGTCTAATGAATAAGTTGAGCTAAAACACAGTGCATGAAATGCAACTTTAATAGTGTTGATGGAGAAGTAGAAGAGACAGTAAGCATGTTACCACATGTAGGTAGGAAGGATATCTTTCCTATTTGGATGGTATTATACAAAAGTTGGAGACTTTGATATGATGTTAGTCATAGATAGATGAGATACTGATAAGTGACAAGCTTGGAAGTCTTGTTGACCAAGTTGAAATGTAGGTTTTATGTAACACCTCAAAGCCCAAAGCAACAAGCTGGTCCAATAATTTCAGATTCAACTTACAACCATGGTGGAAGTTATTGGGAGCCCACAACTTGAGGCTTTTAAGGAGCTCACAAATCCCTTTTTCTATCCATAGATCATACCAGGTGTTACAAAATCATCATCGGTGTTGGCCAGGTCTTTGTTTTTCATATATAAGGTCTCGTGTTCGAATCTTTGAATGCAATTTTTTTTTAACAACTATAAGACAGGGTTAACACCTAGTATGATCTATGGGGTAAAATGTTGGGATACCAAATGGCAGCATATGCACAAGATGGGTGTAAAAGATATGGAAGTGTGGATGTGTGGCCACACCTCATAATTAAGGATATGATTGTAAATCTTGATATACAGGAGAAGATTTGGGGCAAACCCAATCTAGGAGAAGTTGATACAACACAGATTAGATAAGTTTCCATGGGTCCACTCCAATTTAGTGCAATTGTTCCACAAAGAGTCCAATAAGTTGCCAAGGGTCCAATTTAGTGCAAAGTGACACAAGGTCATCCATTTACCATTTATAATTAGAGATACTTATGGAAACTATCATAAACACAAATCATATATATGCTACAAGAAACAAGCTAGCATTGAGCAAACCTGAGAAAGACTAGAAACCACTTGCAAAAGTGCAGCCTTGGCTAAGAAATTTGGGTTATTGAGGTACTTGCAGATCCTGGTACAGAGCTTTTGAAAAGCAGATATAGGTGGGTCTGACGCCATTTCAACCATCTTAGCCATACACATTGCTGAACCAGCTTGTACCCCTTTGTTCTGATCATTCAGAGCCTCAAATAAAGGCTTCACAAACAATGAAACCACAGACCCAATATTCTCAGCCCCCTCCCCTTTCAAATACAGAGAAGAAAGCTGTCCAATCGACTCTCGACAAGCGTCTTTAACACCGGAGTCAGAGTCTTTAAGCCTTTTCACAATGTGGGCTATAATCTTTGTGAGATGAGAAGCAGCTGATTCGGTGTGTGTGGCGCAGAGGAAGAAGAGAAGGCGGATTGCTTCTTTCTTGACGGCGGGTTTGTTGTTGTCGTTAGTAGCCTCGTAGAGCGAATTGAGAAGCATTGTGATGCCATCGGGGGTTAGGGTTTGGATGATCTTTTCAAGGTCTTCGACGGCGATCTGGTGGGTGTCTCTATCGGAGAGCTTGGAGAGGGAAGTCAAGATTCTATGTTTGAGTTCAATCATGGCGAGATGGGAAGAAAGAGAAGAGGATCTTGATGCATTTTGTGGTGGTGATGGGGGTTTCTTGGATTTCAAAGATTTGGTTGACATTCTTGTGATTCCTCCAGTTGAACAAATGGTGGTGGTGGTGAAGTTGGCAGTAAAGAGATTCAAGAGTGTAAATCGCTTTGAAAAATGGATGGAAGATCTTGAAATGGAACCCCAAACACCGTAGCCATTTTAATTATAGCTTGAATAAATAATAATAATAATACATACACATTTAAGATTTAAAATTCAAAAAACAAGATTGAATAATGAATTTTTTGTTCTCCAATATATGATAAGAAAAACTAATAATAATTTTATGAGACAAATTTCTCTGTTACTTACGTAACGTAACGTTTACTCTATTGAAAATGCTCAATTATAACCAACACAAAATTTTATGAATTGGTTCCAATCATTTTAATTTCAATTGCGTTGGTTACAAGCCTAACATCATTTTAAAGATGTTTAATTCCAATTAAACCATAATCTTGAAACTATCAAAATATACATAAAAACTTGTATATAAATTTTTAGGATTTGTTTGTTTATGTTGTTTGATAGTGGTATCATCAATCAACCAGCAGGAAGTATCAAGTAGTAGTTTATTTTATACAAGTTTACCTTTTTATCTGTATAATAATCAAGAGTTACAGCAATACTACCTCAAGATTCAACCGAGAAGTGGGTAGAAATTTGGCGGAAAGATTGTCTGTCATACTCGCAACAGCTGCCCAATCTTTGTGTGTCGGGTCGGGTGGTGGACAGCTGAACGAGAACCACTTTCTTCACTCGTCGGAGAACATGGCTTACCACCACTTTACTACTGCCACCGGAAAAGCACCGATTTTGCTCCTCCCATCGCATTCTCCCAGGTAATTCATTCCCGCTTCTTCTTCTCTCTAGGGTTTAAATACTAGAATTGGCTCTTGATCTTGCATGATGGGAGGTGTTATTGCTACAGATTTGATTGTGCCTCACCATTGCAATTACTGAAATTGCCGAATGTGATCGATTTTTAGGGTTTTGAGTTTGATTTTATTGTCTTCTCTTTGGTATTTACTTACATTTGGTAATATGTGGTTCAACAACATCATTCTTGGATAGATCAAAAGGTTTAAATGTATCTGTCTTTTCTGGGAGTGCTATTGAACATTTGAGCTTGTATCAAAGGATTAAGGATTGAGTTGAAGTTTGTTGTTGAACACCAAATATGAACAAGATTCTCACCGCATATGTTGTTCTAGCAAAACAAGAACCTTTAGCCTTCTAGTCATTATCGTTACTGATGTAAATTCCTTACCATATGGCTTTTATTCTGATTGATTATATAAAATCCAAACCAAACAGGTTAGATTTGGTGTGTGGTCATATACAAGGGATTTTCTTATGCTTGTATAAAGAACTACAGTTCTTCAACTTCATATCTTATATGCATTTGCAGTCACAGTTGTTAAACTTCTGACCCTTGGTCACCTTGAACAGAAAAATGCCAACAAATATAAGGTTCAAGTGTTCTATTGAGTTACCATTGTCTATATCGACCACGGATGCAGCTAGACATGTTGTATCAGGGCTTGCTGCTTCCTTGGTACTTATAGTGCCAACAAACCAGGTTGGTGGCTTATTCCTTGAAACCTGATACCAGCTTAAGCATCTAAATCTGGTTATGAGGGATCATAAAAACATTCCCTTATACCTTCTCACGGGTACCCACTATGCAGGTTTTGGCGACACAACTGTCATATAATAATTTATGCCAGATTGCAAGTGCCACCAACAGTATGCCAACCCTTCCTCTTGATGAGGGTTCAAATCTGATGATGATGAGAGGTATGACAACAAGGAACTTTGATCCTGTAAGATACTCCGGAAGATGGTATGAAGTTGCTTCACTTAAGCGTGGATTTGCTGGACAAGGTCAAGAAGATTGCCACTGCACCCAGGTAGATTGTATGGCCAAATTTTGGAAATTAAAGACCACCAAAATCAAACCAAAACGAGCCTGGTATATCCCACCCACAGGTGGGGTCCCCAGGGGTCATGATGTACGTAAACCTGACATCTATCTTAAAGAGTAGAGCGCGGCTGTTTATATGAGTCTGCAAGATTCTGATTGCAGGGAGTATATACAATTGATACGGCAACACCAGCAATCCAGGTAGATACCTTTTGCGTTCATGGCGGGCCTGATGGCTATATCACTGGTATACGGGGCAGGGTCCAATGCCTTCCAGAGGAAGATGTGGAGAAAACCGAAACAGACTTAGAAAGGCAAGAGATGATTAAAGAAAAGTGTTACCTTCGGTTTCCCACATTACCCTTCATTCCTAAAGAACCTTATGATGTGATTGACACTGATTATGACAATTTTGCCCTTGTTTCTGGAGCAAAAGACAGGAGCTTTATTCAGGTATACATCATGCAATGCATTTGCATGAAACCATAAAATCCTACATAACATTCACTAATCTTTTAAAAATCATATATTGAGGATAGAGTTTCTTTTTGTCAAATCAAGAAAAAACACTCCTGCTCAAAATGATATTGTTTGAAAATCGTTGTTTATGTCTATGGATTCAATGTTTTCAGATATACTCGAGGACACCAAATCCAGGGCCAGAATTCATAGCAAAGTACAAGCTTGTGTTGGCAGACTATGGCTATGATCCAAGCAAAATCAAGGACACTCCACAGGACTGTGAGGTCTCAGATAGCCGATTAGCTGCAATGATGTCGATGAATGGAATGCAACAAGCTTTAACAAACCAGTTTCCTGATCTTGGACTCAAGTCTGCTGTTGAGTTCAATCCCTTCACAAGTGTATTTGACACTTTGAAGAAGCTTGTGCAGCTATATTTCAAGTAGTCAAATTTGGTCAAAAATTCAAGCAAAAACAAAACCAACAGTTCTCAACCAAGCTTTGTCATAACCCATAATGAACAAAACATGTATTGCATTCATGTTCACAACTTCACATGACATGTTTTCATATCTTTCCATCGGAATTCGCAATTTTGTGCATACATAAAGAAAAAACAAAGAGTCAACTAAACAACTTATTCCCATATGCCTATGCCTCATCCTAATGATTCACTAGTTTTAGATTATCATGAACAGGTTCTAACCACTTTGAAAAAGCAGAATCCCCGTTGTTGCAGGTTTACTTTACACCATTGGTTTCAGAAAGCTTGGAGAAACTGAGTTTCTTGAACCTGTTTGTTATCGGATTCGCCCAGTTCTTGTCGGGTACTCCACATTTTATGTCCACTATTTCAACCATGCAAGATCCCTTCTTGTCGGTTTTCCTTCTATTAGGACTTCCACTTCCATCAACAGATACGCTATCCGAATGATGGAGAATAGGATTTCTGCTACCTTTTCTAGTATGGTGGTGTTTGGTTTTCTGGGGAATGCTGGTGTGTTTTTCGTTCATGGTGTTGCTGCTACTAGTGCTTGCTTCATCTGCTTTCGGTTTTGTATCTGTAGCGGCATCGGTAGGTTCTAAGGCTGTTTTTGGAGATGCCACTTTGATCGATTGTAGTTCCCTTGTCATTAACGCATTGATGGTGCCGGTACTTCCAACTTTGATGGATCCTCCACCACCCTTGATGGCTTCCAGAGTCTGAACCATGTGCTGCTGGTTATCTTGATCAACATTAACTTCCATGAAAGTTCTGAAATCAGAAGTTAGAATTCTTTGAATCCCAGGGACTAATATACTACAAGTTAACCAAAGGAAGTAGTAAAGCACATAGAAATGATGAGAAGACTGCTTTTAAAGTTAAAGGAATCATACTCAAAAGCCAAATACATTTTTTTTCTAGGATGGAAAAATTGAGCAGTAAAAACTCTATGTTGTGTGTGTGTGTGTATGTATATATATATATATAATGTAACGGAGTGATTCCTAAAATAAACCCATAAACATGAATATGGCAGAATCAAAGATTGACACCCAATAATTAATAAATAATAATGGTGAATGCGAAATCCAGCAGCTTGTACAAAAAGCAAGTAGGTAGCAGTTGGCTGGATGATGATGAAACCTGAATCAGATGCATAGATTTCATGAAATAAAGAATATAAGGCCACAACATGTGAGGAATGAACATCGTAAACAAGTGAATTCTAACCAGATACAAACTAAACCCTAATTGAAGAAGATGAAGTAAGCTTACCCAAGAGAAGATCTGATTCTAGTAATACAAGGTCTTAACTGAAGAGTATGAAAGTATATGGGATATAAGGGGAGAGCATGAATGGAGAGACAAGATCCGACATGAAAATTTGTATTGTATTGGATTGTATGTATATACAGAACCCCATAAACCCAAACAATTCAAGATTATTTAATTATTGGATTGTATTGGTTGTGTTTCTTTCCTGTTACTTTCATTGACCGCAGCGCTTATTCAAAGCTAGTTAAGTTAAGAATACAAAGTTCCAAAAATTATCTTTACTGCCATGATTTTAAGGCAACATTAAGCATAATTCTCCCCATAAAAATTGCAACAAAATTATGTTTAATTTAATACCATTTCTTTACAAATGCTAAAAAATAACAAATGATTGGACACTTTACCATTTGCTATTTCCTAAACATTTGTGGGAAGCATAGCATCACCAATATGAAACTTCATAGTTAGTGAGTAATGACCCAAAGAATGATAAGGGTCTTTTCTTGGCTCAAGCATATATATATATATATATATATA